TTTTTTGAATTTGGATGATCTGCAATGGAACTTTTGTACTACAGGTTGTGATGTATGAAAGTGCACTCGCGAGGAAAGCAGATAAGGATGAAAGTTACCACGTATCCTTACAAGATATCCTCGTGAAACAGTGGATGCCCATCTCTCCGAACGGTTAGTGTACCTCGTGCCGTTTGCATAGACACGCGACTTACGCGACTAGGTTCTGACTTACGCTCCGTAACCCACAGATGACAGCTTCCTCGAGGCTCACTTCATGGCGGGCACGACTGAGACGCAGCTCGTGTATATAGACGAGAACGACAAGCCCCGGACAGCGTTGCAGGGTCACACCAAGGTCACGGTCTCCGGTAGCGAAGAAGAGCCGCCCGCCCTGCCCGCCCTGGAGCTGGAGAAGGACGCCATCGAGCTCGCAGAGGACGACGTGTATCAAGAACTGGCTGCTAGAGGGCTAGAGTATACCGACAAGTACAAGACCATCAAGTCCATCCGCATGGGCCATCGAGGTAAGTGTCTTTATAGAGGGCACGAAGTTGGGGTGTTTTAGTATCTCAACGAAATCGGTACGGTGTCCTCCTCAGACTGGTTGGTCAGCGTGGCACCCAACGGCTCGCTCTCCGCCACCATCGAGGCCGTGCTGCAGGTGTACATCTTGAAGGCCATCGACGAGAGTCAGGAGTTGCGCCTGCCGCGCAAAATCCGCCGGCTCGACATCGACCCCGTGACGCTGAAGAATAAGACAGGTATTGGTGGTGTTCTAACCGGGGGTTGCTGATGTCTCCATTCCTCACCCACTCCGCACTTTCATGCTGACCCACATTTTCAGAAGTCACGCTGCGCCTCGAGCTGGCCACCGGCATCCTGGCGGGGGCGGGCGTGTACGCGAGCGGGGTTACTCTCCAGGAGCTGCCCCCCGCGCTCCGCGTCGAACCCCTGGCAACTCCTGAGCTGCTGCCCCTTGGCGAGACAAGTTTCCAGACGCCGGAGGAGTTCGTGCGCATGGCCGTGAACGTGGCTCTGATGGGCGCCCAGCACCAAGGTGCACCCCAGGTCACCTTCCTGGAGCTGCCCAACGGCAAGAAGACCGCTGCGCTCAGCACGATGGTGCTGAGCGCCACTCGGGCAGCCGGTTACGAGCAGGTACGCACTCATCTTACCCCCTCCAGCCCATGCGCGGTGCTCTCTGACACAGCCTCTCCATCAATTCTCAGGCGCGAGTAGTGGCGCTGGCCGCGGAGGGCACGATCCCGCCAGGGTTCAGGGGACGCGTTCCGCTGCTCGTCACGGGCCCCACCACTATGGCGGAGGCCATGCAAGCCCTCGACGTGGGACTGGCCGACGCCCTGCTTGTCTGGTCGACCGAGCGCCTGGTGGCCAAGCAAAAGCGGGCTGTTAGCGTGGAAATCAGCATCCTGGCCCAGCAACAGTGCTTGATCGGCGAGTGGCTGACGCTGGTTCGCCGCGCCCAGCCCTTGGACAAGAAGGACACCGTGGTGGTGCATCTGGACGGGGAGACACCGCTCCCTAGGCACGCAAGACCAACCACCACTGTCGTCCTAGTCTCACAGACAGGCCCCAGCAAGCTTCAGCAAAACATTCAAGAGACCCTGAAGAAGGTGGAAGCTCTGCCCTATGCTGCGCAAGCAAGGTACGTACCTTTACTGCAAACCCTCGCACATCATGCCGGTAGGTGTTTGGGTCGGACGGGATCACCTCCTAACCTCTCTGACGAGGGCGTAGGCAACCAATCCGCACGGATGCGCACGGAGTTTCAAAAGCCTTTGTAGCCTTTACCACCCGGTATTGCAGCATTTCGAGCTCTCACGGTTTGTCTGCTTGTATTTCTGTAGGCTGGTGTTCATCGAGGACGAGAAGGCCCCTCCCTTCGACGTGAACAAGGAGCTCCACCAGCTGGCACGCGGTTTCCGCGTGAACGTGCTGAGGGAGGGAGGCGTGTGGAGCACACCAGCGCCCGCCATGCACGTCCCCAAGCCCTGCGCGCTCAGCACCGCGCTGGCCGCAACCAGGTGCGACCCAAAGAAATTCCGTTGCCGCTCCCATTGAAGAGTGCCAGCCCCCCTAAAACACGACGTTCTTCTTTTTGCAGCCTGGGCGACGTTCGACTGCAGTTCTTGGGCGTGACCTCGCTCAGCAGCGAACGCGATTTCGGCCCGACCCACCTGGACTACGTGGGCGTGCTAGAGAACGGCGCCGAGGCCGTGCGGGTGATGGGCGTGGGCCGCTGGCTGCCGGACGACCGGGTGCCACATCTTGACTCGGTTCTGCGCTGGCCGGTCCCGGCGAGCTGGTCCACTCGGGACGCCGCCACCGTCCCCTTCGTGTACGCGCTCGTGTACCACGCGCTGCAGGTGCAGGCGGGCGCGCGCCGCGGCGAGTCCATCCTGGTGCACGAGGGCGCCTCCGCCGTCGGCCAGGCCGCCATCCGGGTGGCGTGCCAGCTGGGCTGCGCCCCGCTCTACACCACGGTGGCCAACAGCCGGGAGCGCGCCGCGCTGCTCGCCATGTTCCCTCAGCTGCAGCCCGCCCAGGTGCTGAGCTGCGGCGACGGCGGCTCCTTCGAGCCTCGCCTGCGTGTGCTGACCCGTGGCCGCGGGGTGCGCCTGGTCGTCAACACGCTCGCGGGCTCCGAGTTCCGCGCGTCCCTCCGCTGCATCGGATACTTTGGCCGCCTTATCAACTTCTCCCGCGAAGACTTGCAGGAAGGGAACATAGGTAACCAAGCCGAGACACCAAGTCGTTACTCGAAGAAGTCACTTTACTAGTACATGAATCACACGCCACACCTTTGTCCTTGGCCTTAGGTTCTCAGATGTTCCTCCTGGGTAGTGCAGTGTTCGGCTGCTCGGGCAGCGAGCTTTTCCACGCCACCGAGGACACCCGCCTCTTGGTGGTGGAGGCCGTCGCCAAGGGGATCCGCGACGGGGTGGTGCAGCCCATCGTGGGGGCCGAGGACTACAGCAGTCCCCGGAGGTTGGTACGACGTCCTACGAGCCGTAAGGCATGACTTCGATCAGTGACAGAAATGAAAGAAAATATTCACTGCTCTTTTGTAGTATCGGTGACCTAAGGCGTGGGACGAAAGCGGTGGTTAAGGTGGACAGCATGGCGCTGGGAGCCAGCCAGGTGTGCGACCCCAACAAATGCTACATCGTTGTCGGTGAGTGTCTCCGTCAGGACAGGAGTCAGCTTGCAAGGCACGGTGGACACAGTTTGACGACGTCTTGTTACCCCCAGGTTGCCAAGCCGTGGACGCGCTGTTCCTGGCCAGCCGGCTGGCCGTGCTGGGCGCGCGCCACATCCTGGCCGTCGTGGGATCGTCGCCGAGCTCTCCGCTCGTGCGGCAGAGGCAGCGCGCTCTCCGGCGGCAGCTCGGCGCTGGCCTGCAAGTGCTTCAAGTGCGCGAGTGGACTCCAGCTGCGGCCGAGAGCGTGCTGAAGGTGGCGTCCAGTGTGGCTCCGGTGCACAGAGCCGTCGTGGTCGTCAAGGTGAGTGTGCCGCCTATCCTATCCACGCAGCTTCCCGACAGTCAGTGAGCATGTTTGGTGTTTGCAGAGCGAGAACGAGCAGGTAGCGGCCGCGCTTCTGGGCAGCGCCCTCCAGCCTTCTGTGGGTCTTGTGTTGCTCGCCGACCGAGAGTGTCTGGCAGCACCCCTAGTCGCCCTGGCCGAGCAGCGTCAGTCGCTCGGATGGCCCACCAGCTGTCTAGCCGCCAGCCTCGGCGAGGCCTCGGAGCGCCTCGGAGACCTGCTCCACAACTCGTCCCTCGAGGTCCTGCCCTCAGCCATCTCGGACCAGGGCGCGGGTTCAGACAAGGACTTGTCCCTGTCGCTGACGGTGGACGCCCTTGCTGCGCTCAGCAGAGCCGACAGCCAGCGGTCGCGGCTGCCGCGGATGGTAGAGCTGACTTCGCTAGGGCCGGCGTCGCACTCTTCGCGGGAGAACCGCAACCTGTTCGTGCTGCCGCCGCTCAGCGTGCTGGACCCAGCCTCCAAGGGCCAGCTGGCCGGGCTCGCGGCCAGGCTGTTCAGCCCCGTGCTGGTGGTGGAGACCACGCCGGGGGACAGCGTCCAGGTCGCAGCCAAGGCCGTGGTGCGGGCGGTGCT